TTCTATGATTCTATGATTCTATGAAAGATAGCGGATAGCCTAAGGTAGTCCATCTTTGAAAAAGGAGAGGGAACCCTCCTCAAACACCAAAAGTTTGCAATTGGGATTCTGTCCTGGGAGGGGGAAAAGCAAGCCCCGCTCTTTTTCAGGCAGAATTAGGGTTTGAGACCAAGTTTCCCACGTGCTTAGTGCTATTCATGTGGCAGTGGGGTGAGATGTGTGTAGTTCCAATCGCTGCCTGTCATGTGTTATATCAACGTGTGACAATATCAAAATCTTGCTTATTTGGCAGTCTCCAAGGACACTTAGATCAATCTCTATAGTCAGGCAAAAGCCCAACTTGTGAATCTCAAGGAGCTTAGGTGCTATCAAAATGCAATTGTTCCTGCAAATGCCCAGCAGTTGTGCTCTAAGTGTTTTACCAGTGTTGCTGGTAGAAAATTTGGTTCCATAAGGTTTGGTAGGAGCAAAATGGTTGTTTTCAGTATCTAAAGCTTGTACATAGGCCCTTAAAGTGTCAGTTATTGGCAAAGTCCTTTAGTGAATTCAGGTCTGTATGGGTGTCCAAAAGATGTCTAAGACTTGTCACTTCCAATGACTTTGGGCTCACATACCTATCACCATACCGGTCTGTGTGATTTGACTCTGCTCCTGCAGTTTGACAATGCCCTTCAGAATGTTCCGAGAGGGTGAACTTTAAAAAATGACAAGAACATCTGAGAAGGGTGTTTGGCAGATATAGTTCTAGAGAAGCGTAAGTATAATTTCAGATAGAATTAGAAAAGGAGATGAAGTGTAAAAGTTAGTAGATAAGGACTTGGTTTTGTGAAGCAGACTTTTTGTTCAGGAGTGCTGAGTGTAGTTAACTCTTATTGCATTCCCTGACCTAAATACAGCTTTTGTCTTAGCATTCAGAAGCCATTAGATTATGTTCTCCAGTGCTGAGGATCCCTGCTAACTCAGTATTGCGCATTACCTGCAGGAGCATGGCGTAATTCATACGTTCAGTCGTCTCATCCAAGGAGGTAGAGTTAAGGTTATACAACACAGCTTGTGCCCCTTGTGATTATATATTACACAATTTTCGAAATCTAAGGCTCAAACATAATTAGAGCTATCGTTTCAACCCTAGCTATGCACAAAGCAAACATGTAAGAACATACTCAGTTACTTAACAGAGCTCCATTTTCTACTGTGGACTGTTCTGCACCTCCTCATGAAGACAAAAAAAAGTCAAGGTAACCTAAATAAACTCATGGATTTTATAACACGGGGGGATAGTTGAGACCATTGAAGTGAGAGTGCTGCTAGACCTGAAGTTTAGCCACCATCCTAAGCATAAATGGTGAAGGTGTCAGCAGATGGTGTTGAAAGATATGTTGAATTGTCCATGTTTCATAGGGTGAACAAAAGAGTTTTTATGTACCACAAACATTTTCCTTTATGCAACTCTTCATATCAAAGAGACTTGTGAGGAAGATGTGGCTGCATCTCATTATTTTTGTGGTTGATGGTAGTTACAGAAAGGTGCTGCAGAAATTCCACTTAGCCATAACATCAAATCCTTTTATTTAGGGAAAAAAGTCACCACACTGTAAACGAGCCTGAGTTGTCGTTTGGTACACTTTTTATACTCTGGTTTTTATCTACTACAACTGTCAGATGGAGACTGGAAAACTCAAAACATTTGTACAGTATTCCTTCTTAAGGGAGGCCCTTAGGTGGTCAGGTCTGGATTCACCTCCCATCTCCAGTGCTGGAGCACCTCTGCCAGCTGGCTGATGAATCAGAACTCTTTAGTCTAAGGCAATTCTTTGGGAGCGGACTGCTGCTGCACTCGTATGGTGATTTGGCACACGTACAATGATTTTACCATGTGATGGTGAGAAGAATTCAGTGGGTCAGCAAATGAAGTATCAACAAGTACATGAAGCAAGCTCTTCATCCACACAAATGGATGCTCAGAGCATCTGCTTTGCTATAGAGCTGTTTCTCATAGTTTCAGTAGATCTTCACACACCTAACATACAGTAAGCACTGCTACTTTTAGACTTCTTAGCTCTCCAGATCATTGAGTGTATTGAGAAACACTGGACTTATGGAGTAATGAGAATACTCACTGTTAACGTTTTGCCACGATGAAAATTTGCCCAGTCTTTGCTTTCTATCTCTTGCCTGTTTTCTGACCCATGACAAAAGTTTCCTTTCACAACATGCCCAGGGAGCTTCTTCAGAAGTCCCTTGTGTGAGTTTTTGTTAAGCTTTTGGGAAGTCTATTTAAAATAAGTTAATTGGTTCTTGTTTATCTGCAACTGTATTGACACTGTTTGAATAATTCTAGGAGAGTGTTTGAAAATTCTAGGAGAGCATTTAATTTTCCATGTGATGCAAGTGATGTAAGCAAGTCACTGAGAGACAAACTGTCAGAAATGGCACTGGTGGTGTCATTTTTGAAAAGTAATTTGGACAATTACAGCCAGTTAGTGAGGTATAGAGCTCTTCCACTTCCCATTGGCACCGATATGACTTGTGGGTGCTCAGCAACTCTGAAGCAGCTCAATCTTTGTATCTCAAGCTGGGTGTCCATGCTTAGAGGCCAGTTTTATGAATATCTGTTATAACAGCTCTGTTTCTCTGCTTCTCAATCTGTTACAGAGAGATGCATGATAGATTTTTATCCTGTCGGACATTTCACGTTCCTTAGGAATAAAGGGTTTCCTCAAATGGAAGACTCAACAGAAATTCAAAGTATTCATTTAATGTCTATGCCTGTATTTAATTTCAGTGTTCATCTTTGGATCTAGCATAACCTTTGCAGCATCAGATTGCTTACCTCTCACATCTCATAAATGTTCTGCTTGACCTACTAAAGCTCCACCTGTGACAAAGTTGAAAACCACCTGAAAAAGTACTTTATTTCCTTCGTCTTCCATCATAACTGGAGATCTGCAAGATATGTCTTTCCTGAGAAATACTTCATTTCACAAACTGCTCCCTTAAGTGTGGGGTCAGGTTAAAAAGGGCCAGTGTTTGTAGACAAGCCATTTGTTTTCCTTTGAGTGTTTAATTTGTTTATTCCTATTTTCAAATAATCCCCAAGCAATATAGTTCCTGTAGCTGCGATCATCACGAATTCAAGTTATTCACCTCCCAGAGGGTCAGACCTTTCATCAGTATGCCATTGGCACAAAGCAGCGAGTGTTGCATATTCATCGTCCGGACGATCGTCCGGCTAGAGGGCCTCTAAAAAGCCCAACTTTTTTTTGTTCTCAGAGCAAGGAAAACAATCCCTTCCCTTCCCCAGTCCCTCGATAAGGGTTTCTGTCCAATAACGGTGCTCGCTGCTCTGAGGCACATTTAACTGTGAAGTTTGCAGCGGGAGAGGCTTTCCTTCAAGCTGTTAGTGTTTTATCCTGGCAGGCTCCTCGAGGTTGTTGTGAGGAGTCTAGCCAGTTGGTGAGCTTTGTAATCTAAACCAGCTGTCCCAGGCTGAGGCCCCCATTTGCATTGTTTAACATACTTAGAAAATGAAGTGTTCATTTTTAACATTCCTCCTCCAATTGGTTTAATGCTGAATTACAGAAGAGAACTAAGCAAAACCAGGTGCTCTCTCTGTATTCTCTCCAGTGTCTGAGGAGGTACAGACGGCTCCCGAACTTCTCCATTACTTGCTATTTCATTCTTTGGACTATAAATGACTGAGGAACTGAAGTGCTAGCAGAGGGTAATGTTTGGAAAAACTTTCTAGTTATTCATCAGCACAGACTCTGGTTTTTTTCCACCTTTCCCCAACGGTTTTGGACATGCAAGGATTAAAAAGGTAAGTGGTATGCATGAAACTTCTTTACTTACTGAAGGGAAACCTACTTGTGGAAAATATCTGCGGCAGGGATTCAGTATGCCAATCCACTTGCTAAAGCCATTTGCAAAGAGACGGGATCTCAATGGTCAGAGGTGGGGAAGGACGATCTGTCTGTTATTAAATCTGTGCTGTCTCTGACGAGTTCCTTCTTGATCTCTGCTTACACTCTGCGCTTTAGGAACCCCAGTATCCGCAGGAGTGCTGAATTGTGACAGCAAACGATCCCACTGGCTACAGTGACTGATTTGAAGCTAATTAGTTACTATTGCAGAAGTTAATTACTAGTTTAAAATATTTTGCCTGCTGGGCAAGCTACTGTGACCAGCTGAATATAGTGTTGATAGGTTGTGCTGCCTGTCCGTTAATAATTCTTGAGGGGATTTGAGATCTAAAGTAATGAGCAAATTGAGACGGTGGTTGCAGGCAGAGGCAGTAAGGTCACCCCCCCACCAAGAGGAAAGAATATATCATGTAACAACAGAAACTAAAGACTGTCTAGAAACGTATGAGTTTTGTCTGACCAGTTTTATAGGGGATTTTGTTAGCATGCACTTCTCTGCAATAATGTAGAGCGTAGCCCAGTTGCTAGGTATGTTAACGTTCAGCTATAACCTGTTGTATTTCCTTCTAGTGCTGTTCTTGCTATATGCAAAGTGAGTATGCAGTCTCTATACCAATGCATGCTTTAAAATCTCTTCAAAAGATTTGAGGAATCAATACATCAAGTGCAAGCCTAAACGGGTAATATTGTATTTTGAATGCTTTGCATCCAACTCTAAGGAAAAGTCTGTGCAGAATTTGCCTTTCCTTGTCACTCAAAAGCTGCCAAGAAGGACGATCTGATTCTGCGGCACTAGGAACAACCATTTTAGGGTTTATGTTTACTTTTCAGAGCTTGTGTCTGTCTCCTCTTTTAAAACAAATTTGTTCAAATGTGTTGGTCACTGTTGGTGTGTGGTTTTGTCTGATGCATTTGTAGGTCTTGTTCAGCAACTCAGTTTGCACTGGAAATCAGAGACAGCTCTAAGAGAGAAAGTTGGCAGCTTGCTTGGGTAGCAGAACTAAGGCTACCTAAAATATCCCTTGCTTCCTGTACTGGTTTTGTGGGAACGTATTGTATACAATTGCCGTTCAGAACTAGAATCCAAGATAAGCAAGATGTGGGTCTAATTGTATTGAGAAGAAATTTTATATAAGGCAGTGGCAAAGCACTGAAATCCATAGTACATAGAAAAAAAAAAATTCTTACTGTCCTTTCCTGGCTTTCTGTGTTTTGGTAAATGCTTGGGGGTGGGAGTTTAGTTGACCTGGATTTTCATGCTCCAGGTAAGGAGTTCCGAATACAGCCGTGGAGCTCTGTTACCGAGGGATCCTCTTCTTTCAGTTGCAGTGAAGAGACCCAGTAGGTCCCACTAGATGATAAGGGGATATAACTGGGGAAGGCTCCATTGAAGATAGCAGCTTCTAGTAACTGATGACCTGGCAGTTTGTGTCTACTTGCAGAGCAACGTATTACTCAAGACTGAGTAAAGGGACAGAATCTGGCCCTAAGAAAATGGATTAATCTCAAATATAGTCTTCTGGGGATGAAATGCGGTTTAGTGGTTAGAGCAACTGGCTTGGATTCAGGACCTCCTGCATGACATGTCTGCAGCCCTGCCAATGCGTTGCGCTGTGAGCTTAGGCAAGGCCTGTGCTCTGGTTTACCCATCTGTAAAATGTGCATAATGTGCAAGAAAAACTTTGATATTCTCAAAAGAAATGTGTCAGAGAGGGGCAAAAATACTTTACTGATTATTACACACTTGTTCATTAAGCAGCTGCTGCATGGGGTATCATAAAAAATAGATTAGTTAATAGACATGTTCGGTCTTATTCTGATCCCATTTGCATAAAACCATAGTAAAATCAGTGACTCTGAGATCTGAATCTGGCCCACGGTTTTATTACTCCCTCTTCAGAGGCCAAATTCATGTTAGCAAATCTTTGTGGAATACACTGAAGTGCCACTAGAAATTGATTTGTCCATGTGTATTTAATTCTGTATAATGAGCCTGGATATCAGAAGGTTTTCAGCCTATTTTCTATGCACATTACAGGATACTGACTGCTTTCACACTGGCCGTCTGCCTTTCGAGCCCTGGAAAAGCACAGGTGAGAGGTGCACGCAGAGATCTATGTACTGTTTTGTGCTGAAGCGCTATATGGCATGAGACCTAACTGGCTAGCAGGTGAATAGGAAGCTCTGTGGTCTGGGGTTTACATGAAGAGGAAGCTGTGTGGTCTAAGGGTTTAGAGGGGAGAACGTGGAGCCAGCAGGATTCTGGACTTGAACATGGACTGAGCTTATTGACTCATCCTTGCCAGCTCAGCAAAATATCCTTGTAGAAACCTGGACCTCACTGAAAACCTGATTCTGCCTCTGAACTGAACACTTCTGGAAAAGGAAGTAGGAAAAGCCATCCCACGAGAGCAGGCCCAGCTCAGTTCTGTGGTGGGGAACATCCACGTTTGGAAAACTTATTCATATAAATAGGTATTTTCTGTGTATAGCAGGATCTTGTCTTAAGACTGTTTAATTTTGGACTGTGATCCTGAATGACTGCATCTTAGTTTTCATTTTAATTTATGCCTGAAACCATTTTTGTTCAAGAGGCAGGGCTTTTGAGGGTGGGTGGAAGTAAAGCAGTCCAGTTCTTGAAATAGGAGAAGCATTAGTTCTTTGTGTTCTTGGGCTCCAAGTGGACTTTAAATTAGGAAAAACAGTTCCCAAAGGCATGTTACGTTTGAATTCCTAGTTGGTAATCCAGATATGCTCAGTGTCCAGAGCTGTGTTTCTAAATACCTTTGCCAAAAGGCTCTGAAATGTAGTTCGTTTTTTTCTATTGAAAATTGAAAATTTCCTGCACATGGCATGCTTATTGATATTTTTGTGAACATTGGATCTGTATGGGAAATGCTTTTCATGCCCCTGGAGAATTTTTGAGATGTCTTTAAGGGTTTGTTTATAATTTAAAAAATATTGTTTCCATGGTTATTTTTATAAAAACATCTTGTACCGTGAATTAATTTTGAAGTCTAAGCAAAAAGCAGGTTGAAACCAAGATGATAGCAACAAATTCTTTCTGAAGACATTGAAACTGGTCATTTCAATAATACTGGAATCTTTTCTAAAGTAAAGTTCTAGGAAGTTGTTGAAACCAGTTCTACACTAGTTTCAGTGTTTCTGAGTCATCGTTTACTGTCTAAAAGAAAATAATTTCGTTAAAAACTATCTTAACTTTTCCTGCTAACTAGGTGTAGCGTATACACCACAGCACAGAAAAGAGAACAGAAAGTAGAGTACGTACATTCTTTAAAACGAGGCTGATTATACATTCTCCCATCAGAATATCTTGGCTTTCCACAGCATGGTACCAAAACATCTCAGAATGCCAAAATAAATCAAGGCAGAATTCCTTCATAGTTGTTTGACACTTCGAGTAGTGGTTTTGTGTATTCATGTGTGCAAGTGTCAGGTGCAGTCCAAATAGTGCCATGTGTTTCACTTCATGTCCCCTCCCTAGTTCCTGCAATGGCCCTGCAATGACTTATCCAGCTCAGCCCTTGTCTCCCACCTACAACTTACTACTTTTCCAAATATGAACCGAGTACTTTATTCTCCCACTGATTTCTTCCACAAAGTCCAAAAATAAGTGTCTTTATCATTCATTGTCACAATAGAAAAGGAAGAATCTTGAACACACTTTGTCCCTCCACCCTCTGGTTACTTCAGTGATTCCTATTTTCTGGATATCTCTTGCTTACATTCCTTAGTGTAACCTATTAGCTGGCAAGATCCTGTGCTTGTGGAAACTGCTTGTCCCGTTGCTGAATAGCTGGAGGCCCAGTCGAAAACTAGGGAGAGCAGGGAATCATTTTAATGGGCTTTGACACAACCATCACCAGGACTGTCACTGGTTTAGAACTGCTGAGGTCACTGATGAGGTGCTGAAGACTCCAGGATGCAGCCCTGATAAAGACCAGCACTGTAGGATAGGAAGGAAGAAGTAACCTTGCAAGTCTAGAACATGTGTCATTGTAAAGATTTATCCTCTAAGAATCAAAAGGTTTGGTGTAAAGTAAAAGCCTTGCTTTTATTAAGCTTGTTATGTTTTAACTATGGCTGCAATTCAGTCAGATGGCTAACATGTCGAGACATATGTGCTGAATTGTCTATATGTGGCGTCTTAGAGCCTATTAGAGAAGTTAGCTAGTACCTTTTGCCTGAGCCCCCCTGTTCTGGCAAAAACAAGACCCCAAAATAGAAGAATGTACTTCTGTGTTAACAACTGGTATGGAGCCCATCGCACATCATGTGTTGGTTACTCCTGGGGAGATGAAGAGCCTGACATCGTCATCACCTGAGGGAACTACTTCTGAGTTAAGGGGCTGGAATATGTGCTGAGGTCTCCAGTTCATGCCTTGCTGACTGTCCTTTGGGGAAGGGACTTTATTTTGGTGTACTGTATAGTGCTGAACAACTGTACTAAGCATAATAAGCCAGAGGAGCATTTGACTCTGCAACCCTCTCATTTCACAGTCACTGAGTGTCCTTTGTTTTCTCCTTTTAGCAACAATGCACTAATGGGTTTGACCTGGACCGTGCCTCTGGGCAGTGCTTAGGTAGGACTTTAATTAAATCAATACATTTAAATTGGTGTTAAGAAATCCTGACTTTATTGAGTTAACATTGTGCTGCTGTTAGTATGTTTTAGTTGAAAAGTTCTTGCTGTGTGACAAATATGTGTGTTTGTGTACATCTATATACAAAAATATATATGTATATATATAAATATGTGTGTGTATTTACATACCACAAGTAGATAATGATCTTTGACGTTGTTGATATACTAATTGGCCATCAGTGCTTCTCAAATAGCTGTGATGCATTGAGATGAGTTTGGGAGCCCAGTCTAGTTGCCAAATGACAAGGGTTGTTTACCCTCCTCTTTCTCCTCCAGACTATTTACTATCTTTGTTGGCAGCCTCCACCTGGAGGCTCAGATAAAGTCTACCACTGCTCCAAGTAAATTGTTGAGGCAATATAGGGAAACACACACTTTGCCCTATAGCATCTTTTTATCAATGGCATTCAGTCTCCAGGGCAGCATCTTCTGCGTGCATTAAAGTCACTCAGACAGTAAGGGAAAAAACAGCAACAGATTGCTTGCCCTGTCATAGCAACCTACTGCTTCTGAGCTCCGAGAGCCAAGCAAATGCTCAGTTTGGCTAAACCATTTGTACCTTTCTAAATTTAATTCAGCAACGATCTCAGTCAGAGCAAGAAAGAGGCCTGAACCACATCCCCAGATCTGAACATCCCTAACTTTTTCTGTGGGAGGGAGCTCAGGCGTTCCAAATCAGGATCCAAGTTTCACAGCTGGGCAAACCAAACCACCAGTGTTTGAAATCCTGATCTGCATGTTGTGGTTTGGACAGACCCTCCAGCAGGAACAGGCGGTAGCATGCTGTAGCCATGTGTAAATCAGTGTTTAAACCAAACACATATAGAATAACAAAGCAGGCTTTCCCCTCTCCCTCTACCCTCTAATAGTGAAGTAAAACAAGTAAAACACAGGATATATTGAATATATGGGATGTTTCCTGCTTTAGTAGGATCTAACTTCAAAGTGAGGTTCCACAAGGAAGGATTAGCTTTTCCGTTCAAAGAGAGTATTAAATTTTTTAGCAAAGTTTGAGAAAAACATGTTAACTATTTTTTGGATAGGTCCCATTAAGAAGCCCTCACTCATTTAACTTCTGCAATTTCCTTCCAGATATTGATGAATGTCGGACTATTCCTGAGGCCTGCAGAGGAGATATGGTGTGTGTCAACCAGAATGGTGGCTATTTATGCGTACCGCGAACAAACCCAGTATATCGGTCACCATATCTGAATCCTTATTCAAATATTTATCCACCGCCCCAAGCACCAGGCCCCGTTCCTAATTACCCTACTGTTACAAGACCTCTGATCTGTCGATTTGGTTACCAGTTGGATGAAAACAATCAGTGTGCTGGTAAGTAGTAGAAATCTTTATTCTATATTTTTATTTACATTAAAGCTTGTCCGACATTGGAGAAACAATTGTCCTGCAATTGTCCTTCAGTTATTGTATCACTCAAGCCCAGTCTTTTGAAGTTCAGCTACTTTTTGAGCTCTACGTTTCATATAGTCACTATTCAATGCAAGCTAAGATATGATTTAGTCCTATTATTTAACCGCGAAACCCACTTTTATGAGAGATGTAATGTTTTTATGAGGTAAACAACCATCTGATGGCAGGCGATTTGTCAGTGCATCAAAGGCATGCCTTTTATGCTTATGATTCTGTCCTTGAGAGAGAAGATACGTGGCCCTCCATTTGAAGCACTAAATGGGGACTGAGGAAACCTTGATTCAGTTCTTGGCAGAATGTGACCTTGTTCAGATTTCTGCACCTCGGTCTTCCTCCCATGCTTTGCATTCTTCACTTAAACTGTGAGCCCTTTGGAGCACATACACTGCTTATCTAGAGGGTGGTACACAACTCTTAGCACTACCATTGCTTTAATGACTATAGACTTGAGCTGAGACTGGAACTCCCTTGTTCCAGGCACTGCGCAAACACACGGGGAAAGAATCACTGCCCCAGCAGGGCGTTGACATTGTCTTAGCACCTTGGTATTCCCTGATCTCCAACACAAAAACTAAATAACCCTATGAAAAATTTCTTGTGTTGGTAGTTTTTCTACTTTTGCATCTTTTGCTAGATTCTGATTCCACTTACTTCATTTTATACTGTGTTTAACTTGGATATAAGCTGCTCCTGTGTTACTCAAATTTAAGGGAGATTTAGATTATATCCCTTTGGTTTGCTTGCTTTTGATAATGTCATGTTATGAAGGAACGGAGAGAAAATTTCTGAACTAGATTGAAGTAGATTCCACTGGCCAAAATATTTATTTTTATGCCAATCTTGGAATCAAGAGATCAGGATCAAACTGATCATTGGCAGCTGCTCAGGGCAAATGCTGGAGATGTAGCCCACAGGTCTACCACAAAGTTAATCTACAACCACTACTTATTTCTGTGTCTCAGTTGTCCTAATGGTAGAGTTTTTTATCTGTTATTATAGGTAGCTAATTGTCTGAAGGTTTTTATCAAAATCTTTTTTGAAATAGGACTGTCTTTGACAAGAAAAAAAGCCCAAACTACAGAAGATATGAGCTTTCAATAGAGAATTTTGCCTGTCTGTAGACTAAGGAACTGCACTTAACTCAGAACATTTCTTTTTGAATGCTGCTGCAGAACAACACAAGAGCTAAAACTGACTTGTTTCTTGGGCTGATTCTGCCCTATTGTCTGAAATTTCTGGCAGGACTTGGTTTCAGATGGTGTACTTCGTTTGCTTCCCTAGTGAGGAGACCATGATGCTTCACGGGAGCTGTGAGAGTCTAGATTTAAATTCAGCTACTTTCTGTATTTGACAGTATTTGTGTATTTTCTGTATTTTGTGTATTTTCTGTATTGAAAATTCAGCATTTTTCTGTATTTGAATCATTGCCGTCATTATGTTCCAAGGTGGGAAAAATGTATTTTCTAACCAGCACTAGTAGTAATACCTACTGGAAAATTGAAAGAACTGTTTTTTTAATGAGGAGTTTTGAAATCCTGGGATAACTGTTGAGTTTGCTGTAAAAATAAGCATGTATACTACCCAGTCCTTTGAAAATTGCAACTAGTCCTTCTGATCTTAGCAAATTGATCAACCTCAGCTGCTTTATCTACTGGTTTGTAGGCTTCCAGGAGTCTTTTTATTTTGCTAACTTTGATGTAGATGAATCAGGAAACAGGGCAGTTAGTGGAAAAGAAGTGCTGAAATCAAAGGGGAAATGAAAGCCCTATATTTTACTCTCTCTGGCCTGCTGCACGCAAACCATACTAATCAAAACAGGTGGATTTTGGAAACTTTGCAGGTGGTGCGGATCTTCCACCTGCAAAGGGCATATATGTTCCTATCCACACTGGCAGAAATGTGAGGACTAATGCTTTCTTCAGTCAGGGCTTTTCACTTCTGTCACTTTAACTTTCAAATACGGGAATTTAATTGTGAGGGAAAGTTTGATGAGTAGAGACATTAACAAGAATAGAAGGGAAAGGATCGACTGTCATTTGAGGACCACAGTTAGCTGGAAGCAGTTTTTGAAAGTCTACATCAGGTTTGAATTTGGGCAGATGATGGATCACATTTGTGTTAGAGGAAGAAAAACAAAACTTAAAGAAAACAAGACCTGTCAGAGCAAAGGGGTCTCTGCTAGGGTTACATTTCATTTTTCATTTAGTGAAATCCTCTGGAGACATTCACTGTTTTGATGCTGTATTTATTTTTGTATCTGTGTGCCCTAGGATGGGAAGTGTGAGCACCAAGGTATGAGTACATGTCTCACTGCGGTGATGGTAGGAAGGACTGATCCTCTGTTTCCAGGACTTCTGGTGCAGTTAACAGGGGTGACGTGCAGCCTCGTGCTTAAAGGCCTTGGAGATGAGGCACCAGGGAACCTTGACAGGGTCCTCAGAAACCGCTAACATTTCACTCAGGTCATTCAAGAAAGTCTGAATCGCATGAGTCATGGCTCCATCTTATTATAAGTTAATTATAAGCATTGCATCATGTTAATAGTATTTCAGTTGCTCTGTGCTTCCCTGCTTGTCAGCATTCAGCATGCTCTTAGGATACAAAGCCCTTCAAGGGTTAATTTTGTGGTGGAATGGTTGAAGAGAGTAAACTGGAAGCTATTTTGCCCAGTAGCTGAGCCACTATATAGCTTACAGGTTTGTTATGTTGGTGTTCTGGCACCACCTGCCAGCATCTTCTTTCCAAACAAAATTAGTCACAGGTATTTCCATTAGAGATGATGAGACTTTTTGCTATTGACTTCAGGGGAAGCAGAGCGATTCTATTTCCAATTTTTAACAGAGTACACATTTTTGTCTGGTCAGATATGGGGTTACAGGTCTGGGCCACATTAGCTAGGCCAACAGAAATCTTTACTTTCTCTTTGAATTCCAGTCAAAACAGCTTATTAAACACAGGAACCTTCCCTGGGAGATTTGCAGCCTCAGCTTTGAAGCGCTGAGCTTGTTCAAGAGATTTCCAAAGTGAAACAGGATAAAAATTTGATCTGAAATCTGTATGAGACTTAACGAGCTCTTTTTTATTTTACTCCCCCC